CAGTGTTGTCACATGAAAAGATTTAATAAAATATGTACAAAAATTTAAGGGATGTACTCACTTTTGTGAGATACTGTAGATGCCTAAAAGATTGTGAAGGTCAAAGCTAGACATAGTGTGTTTTTTTTAAACATTTTTTCATCATATTTATTTTTTTATAGTAAATTATATGATATGATGAAAATAATGGTATCTTTATAAAGACCATTCAATGGCGAGAAAAACGGTATATAATATGTATGGGTACAGTAAATGAGTAAGAGAACAATTACAGCTAAACACAAATACCGCAGAAATGTAAAAAGAGCCCTGGTCCTCAACGGTAAGAAAATTGAGAAAAGGCCTGGTCACTAAGGGGTTCATGTCAGTTTTTTTAAGCAGTCCCTTCAGGTTAGAAAGTTACGAAAGTACAGAGGGACTAGCAGCTGAATCCAGGAATACTGCTAAATCCAATGGTCAGTTTGGTTTATTGGTATTTATGAATACTTTAAAAAAGTGCCATAGCAATATATAGTAATGTTCATACATAAATAATTTTGGCAGGCTGAACCTTTGTGCTGTGAATTCATGCTCTTTTCTCTGGCCCACAAAGGGCTAAATGAAAGATCTTTGAGTCTTTGTTGAATAGTAAATAGTGATGTCCCGAACGGTTCGCCGAACTGTTCGCCACGGACGGCGAACATATGCGCTGTTCGGTTCGCCCCCTATGTCATCGTTGAGTAAACTTTGACCCTGTACATCACAGTCAGCAGACACATTCCAGCCAATCAGCAGCAGACCCTCCCTCCCAGACCCTCCTACCTCCTGGACAGCATCCATTTTACATTCATTGTGAAGCTGCATTCTTAGTGAGCTGTCCAGGAGGTGGGAGGGTCTGGGAGGGAGGGTCTGCTGCTGATTGACTGGAATGTGCCTGCTGACTGTGAGGTACAGGGTCAAAGTTTACTCAATGATGACGAATAGGGGGCGGACCGAACAGCGCATATGTTCGCCATCCATGGCGAACCGTTCGGCGAACCGTTCGGGACCTCACTAATAGTAAACTGTTTCAGATCATTAAGTCTTAATTCTAAGAATGCAGAATCATATGAGTGTGATATAATAGTGATTCACTACACAATTGTCAACATATGAATATTGTGGGTTGTCACAGCAGCTATTTAATTTTGGAGATGCTAAAAATACATCACGGAGCTGGTGAATGTTGGAGACCTTGCGCTCCCCTACCTTCCATTTGAGGATGCCCCACAAGTGCTCAATAGGGTTTAGGTTTGGAGACATGCTTGGCCAGTCCATCACCTTTACCTTCAGCTTCTTTAGCAAGGCAGTGGTCGTCTTGGAGGTGTGTTTGGGGTCGTTATCATGTTGGAATACTGCCCTGCGGCCCAGTCTCCGAAGGGAGGGTATCATGCTCTGCTTCAGTATGTCACAGTACATATTGGCATTCATGGTTCCCTCGATGAACTGTAGCAGCACTCATGCAGGCACAGATCATGACACTTCCACCACCATGCTTGACTGTAGTCAAGACACACTTGTCTTTGTAATCCTCACCTGGTTGCCGCCACACCATCTGGACCAAATAAACGTATTTGGTCCAGATTGTGTGGCGGCAACCAGGTGATTATCTTGGTCTCATTGAACCACAGGATGTGGTTCCAGTAATCCATGTCCTTAGTCTGCTTGTCTTCAGCAAACTGTTTGCGGGCTTTCTTGTGCATCATCTTTAGAAGAGGCTTCCTTCTGGGATGACAGCCATGCAGACCAATTTGATGCAGTATGCGGCGTATGGTCTGAGCTCTGACAGGCTCACCCCCACCTCTTCAACCTCTACAGCAATGCTGGCAGCAGTCATGCATCTATTTCCCAAAGACAACCTCTGGAAATGACACTGAGCACGTGCACTCAACTTCTTTGGTTGACCATGGCGAGGCCTGTTCTAAGTGGAACCTGTCCTGTGAAACCACTGTATGGTCTTGTCCACTGTGCTTCAGCTCAGTTTCAGGGTCTTGTCAATCGTCTTATTGGCAAGGCCATCTTCATGTAAAGCAACAATTATTTTTTTCAGATCCTCATAGAGTTCTTTGCCATGAGGTGCCATGTTTAACTTCCAGTGTGAGAGAGTGTGAGAGCGATAACACCAAATTTAACACACCTGCTCCCCATTCACGCCTGAGACCTTGTAACACTGAGTCACATGACACTGGAGATGGAAAATGGCTAATTGGGCCCAACTTGGACATTTCCACATAGGGGTGTACTCACTTCTGTTGCCAATGGTTTAGACATTAACAGGGCTGGACTGGGGATACGAAGCAGCCCTGGAAAAAAATCTATACCAGCCCCATAAGTCATTGTGCTATGTAGGGTGTTTATATATATATATATACATATATATATATATATATATATACACACATATATATATATATATATATATACACACACACACATATATATATATACACACACACATATATGTATATATATGCAATTGAAATAGTTGGCTGCACTCTCGGATTTCCTGAAAATGTAACTTTTATTGAAATATTTAAGAGAAGATCAATGTTTCAGTCCCTCTTGTGGACTTTCGTCATGATCCTGATGCAAGTCCACAAGATGGACTGAAACGTTGATCTTCTCTGAAATATTTCAATAAAAGTAAAATTTTAAGGAAATCCAAGAGTGCAGCCAACTATTTCAATTGCCTATATATATATACTGGATACTGGAGCCCTGGTGATGCAACAATATATATATATATATATATATATCTTTTTTTTTATTGATACATTTCTTCTTCTAATTCAAAATATTAGTACTTTTAGGGTAATTAAATTATACAGTAAAGCATTCTCACACACAGACAGACAATCTTACTGATGCACACAAATAGGCTCATTGACAGACAATGACACACACAGACAAGGTTACTGGCGCACACACAAATTTAGTACAGACAAACTGATACACACACACAAGCTTACTATAGACAAGCTCACTGTCACACACACACGCTCACTACAGACAAGCTCACTGATGCGCACACACTCTCTCTACAGACAAGCCCATTGACACACACATGCTCCCTACAGAAGAGCTCACTAACACACAGATTCACTACAGACAAGCTCACTGACACACACATGCTCACTGCAGACAAGCTCACTGACACACATATGGTCACTACAGACAAGCTCACGATCACACTCATGCTTACTACAGACAAGCTCACTGTACACACATGCTCACCACAGACAGGCTCCGACACACCCATGCTCCTTACAGACAAGCTCACACACACACACACACACACACATATGATCCCTACAGACAAGCTCACTGACACACATACAAGCTCACTCACTAGCAGGCACACACACACACACAGAGGCTCCCTCACTAGCAGATGCGCGCACACACACACAGAGGCAGACAGTCACTGACACCCAGGCAGACAGCCACACACACACACAGGCAGACAGTCACTGACACCGAGGCAAACACCCACACATACAGATAGGCACACACATACACAGGCAGACAGCCACACACACACACACACAGGCAGACAGCCACACACACACACAGCATACGGTCACACACACACACACACGCAGACAGTCACGCACACACAGGCAGACAGTCACGCACACACACAGGCAGACAGTCACACACAGACAGTCACACAGTCACACACTCATTCAGACAGTCACAGACAGTCACGCACTCACACAGACAGTCACACAATCACACAGACACACTGACCTCCTTCTTACCTCCTGCTTGGAGTTCCTGGAGGCTGGTTGTTGGGGAAGCAGGGACTCCTTCCTGCTTCCCATGCTGCAGTCAGCCAGGCCGCCGCCGCACAGTAAGCGTAAGCCCCGCCCCCGCTGCACGCTAAGCTCTGCCCCGTCGCACGTAAGCTCCGCCCCCGACGCATTTAAAAAAAAAAATTATGATCCCGGACCGCCATGTGTGAGCTGTGCCGGCCGCCTGGCTCCCCCTGCTCCCATGGGGCTCTGTGCGGCCGCACAGCTCACACATGGCCGACCGGGATCACAGGAGCTGTCAGACCGGCCCTAGGTGCCACGGCCCACCGGGAAATTTCCCGGTATCTCGGTGGGCCAGTCCGGCCCTGGACATTAATGGCTGTGTGAGTTATTTTGAGGGGACAGCAAATTTACACTGTTATACCGGCTGTACACTTACTACTTTCCATTGTAGTAGAGTGTAATTTCTTCAGTGTTGTCACATGAAAAGATTTAATAAAATATGTACAAAAATTTAAGGGATGTACTCACTTTTGTGAGATACTGTAGATGCCTAAAAGATTGTGAAGGTCAAAGCTAGACATAGTGTGTTTTTTTTAAACATTTTTTCATCATATTTATTTTTTTATAGTAAATTATATGATATGATGAAAATAATGGTATCTTTATAAAGACCATTCAATGGCGAGAAAAACGGTATATAATATGTATGGGTACAGTAAATGAGTAAGAGAACAATTACAGCTAAACACAAATACCGCAGAAATGTAAAAAGAGCCCTGGTCCTCAACGGTAAGAAAATTGAGAAAAGGCCTGGTCACTAAGGGGTTCATGTCAGTTTTTTTAAGCAGTCCCTTCAGGTTAGAAAGTTACGAAAGTACAGAGGGACTAGCAGCTGAATCCAGGAATACTGCTAAATCCAATGGTCAGTTTGGTTTATTGGTATTTATGAATACTTTAAAAAAGTGCCATAGCAATATATAGTAAGGTTCATACATAAATAATTTTGGCAGGCTGAACCTTTGTGCTGTGAATTCATGCTCTTTTCTCTGGCCCACAAAGGGCTAAATGAAAGATCTTTGAGTCTTTGTTGAATAGTAAATAGTGATGTCCCGAACGGTTCGCCGAACTGTTCGCCACGGATGGCGAACATATGCGCTGTTCGGTTCGCCCCCTATGTCATCGTTGAGTAAACTTTGACCCTGTACATCACAGTCAGCAGACACATTCCAGCCAATCAGCAGCAGACCCTCCCTCCCAGACCCTCCTACCTCCTGGACAGCATCCATTTTACATTCATTGTGAAGCTGCATTCTTAGTGAGCTGTCCAGGAGGTGGGAGGGTCTGGGAGGGAGGGTCTGCTGCTGATTGACTGGAATGTGCCTGCTGACTGTGAGGTACAGGGTCAAAGTTTACTCAATGATGACGAATAGGGGGCGGACCGAACAGCGCATATGTTCGCCATCCATGGCGAACCGTTCGGCGAACCGTTCGGGACCTCACTAATAGTAAACTGTTTCAGATCATTAAGTCTTAATTCTAAGAATGCAGAATCATAGGAGTGTGATATAATAGTGATTCACTACACAATTGTCAACATATGAATATTGTGGGTTGTCACAGCAGCTATTTAATTTTGGAGATGCTAAAAATACATCATTTTGGGGATGCTGAAAAGATGTCATTATCATTATAGAGGCCTTTATATTGACTGTCATTATTACAGCGGCAGATACACTGCTATATCTGGTTACCCTGTGAAGTGTCTTTTTTGTGTTAAGAGGAGCTGGGGTTAGGAAGAACAAGTCTGAGAATCATGGGCATAGCGGTCTACAACATCTTGAAGGCAGGTCCCATCCATTCTTAAAGTGACCTCCAATGGTGTCTGCTTAATAGGCAAAACGGGCTGCCAGAAGTCATCCAATACCGCAATAAACAACAAAATTACAAATTGTACCAGTAGACATCCTTTGCCAAAAAATGACACTGCAGGAAGTACTATGTGACATATTTATATGACATAATTATGATGTGTCAGTTGCCAAGAGATTACTCTGCAGAATCACATAACAGTGTAAATGATGTGCCATCCAATGTTACATTGGGCAACAGGCCACCATATTACTTGGATGACTGGAGCTAGAACATAGCTCAGTAAGCCTCCTTCGGTGATGCCGCAGCACACTCAGCAGTTACTGTGTCCGTGTTTGACAGCCATCTCATCCCTAAATCACCACAACACAATGGGATAAAATGATAGACAAATATCATGAAGCTTAATATTTTGAAGATGAAATGACACCTTGAAGGGGCTTTATGCTCATCCCCACAAGTACTACACTTACAGGATTATTCCGTAACCTGATCATTTTCAGAAATTCTAAGTGAATTTAACATTTTAGCTGTACTGAAGAATTATTGGAGAATTATTCCAATCAAAATATTTTAGCCTCAAATTTGAAATTCACGTTGAATTCCCATCAATTCACACTTTAGTGAATAACTTTGTTAGTTTATTTTTATCACTGTGAGAATATTAACCCATATTACCAGGTAAGGTCTTCTCTTCCCCCTGATGGTTTGTGGTGATGGTCAGAGTCCATTTCTCAAGCTTACCAGTCTGGGATTCGTCGAGGCTGGAAGTAAGGAATAATTGAGTGAGGTGGTCACTGCTGTGTTTTGGGGGTTTGGTCACCTCGTTTACAGAGTGCAACCATTGTGATTATAGTTTCGTCTCCAATTGTTTTTTCTAAAAGGAACTGTTTCATCCTAAAAAACATAACCGATTGTCATATGAAAATACAGAAAATAAATATACTGAAAAAAGTACGTCACTGTTATATAATTTGAGCAAAGCAGTTTTTACCTTGTCACATTTTTCTTTAGACTAGACATTGACAAAGGCTGAAAATAAAATTAATAACAAGTATTGCCACTTTTGATGAGGCATGGGAGCTGATCTGCTTTTAAAAAAAATAAAAATACCCTTTCATCATAGTGTAAAATAATGTAGGCGATATAAAGCACCCTTTCATCATAGTGTAAAATAATGTAGGCGGTATAAAGCTTTTATGATAAAGCAAGTATTAAAATTGTTGTATTTTTTATGACATACTGTTTTGAAGCTACAATATTCTTACAGTTAAAAACAAAATAAATGTCTTCAAAAGCAAAAAAAGTTTTTAATTACAGATTACAGATTTAATTTAGTTTTAAAAGCTTGATAATGTGTTAAGGACATGATGATAGATAGGTCCTTGTACATTTAACTAAATTTCATGTGTCTAAAGTGCACATGGCTAAAAGCTATTTTTCTTGTTTATCCATGACGGATTTTTTCCACTTGAAATAAAAAAAAAAGCGTTCCTCTCTTATACTCAAATGTTCTTTGTACTTTGACGCCTCTTAGCTGTGCCTCTACTCTTGTTCATGTTAGTGAGATTAAATTGGAGAATTTATGTGCTTCAGTGCAGTTTAGTTTCCATATTGAACTGTCCAGTCTTGTGTGAATAGGTTCCTTCTTATTATGGACGGACAAGAGCTTAATGATGGACTGAAGGCATAGCAATTAAATTGTTTTTTTTTTTTTAACAACATATGTATAGGAAAATAAAAAATACAAAATATATAAATACCCCGAACACTGCTACTCATTTTATCATTTCTACATACAGTGAGACCACTTGTTAAAAAATAATGTCTTCTCCTCTACCTATAGAAAATATTGTCCATCCCCTTAATGCATGTTCAAACACTCAGAAATGAATGTGCTTTTCAATATCTATTTTACTCCACGGTCCACTGGCTTCTATTGGTTTTTGTCTTGCTGTTGTGTTCCGTTTTTGCTCTATGCTGGTGTAAAGGTATATTTTAAAAGTAATGAAATTGTTTTCTTATATTTTAAAAAGAGATGTCTTTTATTCCCAGCTTTATTCAGGCTAAACTCGCCCTGTTTATCAGATGAAGAAAGCCACTTGCTGAATCCAAATTTTTTTTGTCTTTTAGATGCCAGGTTGACCTCTCGGCCTTAAGCAAAGAACAGACTCACAAGTTGAAGCTGAATCTTGAAGAAGGGGAAGGCTGGCTTATCCTCCTGGTAACTTTGACAGCCTCAGCTGCCATCAGTATTTCCGACCTCTCTGTCAGTTGTTTGGAGGATCAGAAAACGCGTGAGGATATTCAGAAGCGATACGTACGTAATACCAATTAGACAGCTTACCAAAAAAAAAAAAAAAAGCATTTTAACTTCTCGCATAATCAGTTGAAAGACAAATGTACAAATGATTCTGTTATCTGTAACAGTAGAGCATGCATTAACTAAAACTGACAAAGCAGACAAAAAGCAAGGCAAAGTATGAATCCAGAAATGAATTGTTATAGAACACTCTCCCCGGCAAAGGTTATATGAACTAACAAATATTCTAAAGCGTAAAGTGAAAAGCAAGTTCTTAAGTAAGGATCGAAGATTGTTTTTAATTAATATGTATCAATACGTGATTGCATAGGCACAGTCACTATAATAAAACTGACTTTTTTGTATTGTACATAAATTTTAAGTTGAGTAAAATGCGCATTTGTTCATAACAACAATAGCAAGAGTAATAATATAAATAACATTAAGTGGTCTTGCTATGCAAGAACACTTAATAAACATGTTTCTGTTTATAATATTTCTTTCCCATTGTAAAACTATTTTAAAGCCTGCTCCGTATTTGTAAAAAATGTAATCAAAACATCATTACATCTCTATATAATGAATCATACCGACAATCACCCATAGATCTTGCAATCAAGTACTTCAAACCCAGCTTGCCATGAACAACGTTAAGCAGATAACCCACCTTCCAAACAAACAGCACTCCAAATACTTCTAAATTCCAATATAACTTCCCGTTTAACATCTCAGCTAGACTGAGCTACATTTCTTCAGGGCAATATATAAATCAATAGCTATTGGTATGATAATGTATGAGTGCCTGCTTATCCATATTACATTTATACATATTTACACAATTATTATCCACAGATGTTTATACAATGAGATACAATGGATTTAAAAAAAATTGCGATAGCAGTATAAATGTCATAGAATTTATTTATTTATCAAAAAAGATTAAAAAAAATATATACATATCAATATTTAAAAGTTGCAAACTCAGGATTTTTATTTTCCATTCTTGGACAGTTAGATCATTATATGACAGTGTTGTTGTCTTGACAAAGAATAGGTTAACTGCAGTTTCATTAGTAAGACAGAGAGGGGAGCTGTTGGTAAAGGATTAGCCTGTATGCAGTATGATGGAAAAGTATGCCCGTATGAGCAAAAAAAAAAATTTATAAAAATTGATAAAAAAAAAAAAAAAGGCTATTTCCTCTTAATATCACAAAGCTTTTATTGTACAATACTGCCAGGTGTTTAGAAAGCTTCTCTAGACACTCAGCCATTAAACCAAACGTTACCTAACAAAGAGACGCTTAATTTTTCTTCCAGTTTATAAAATATTCCTATTCCCAGACTGGAATCCTTTCAATAACTGAATTTAATAAAGATGTACCTTATCAGGCGGCGCAGATAACATGAAGTGCTGGTACTAATGCTGTACAATATTCTTCAAACAGATTAGCTGAATGTACGCTTCGGTAAATTTATTCATACTATCTCCTCTGAATCAGCTGTCTGCTAAATGCTAGTACAACTCACAGACCAATAGCGTTATCATAAACACTCTTTAATAGAGGTGACTTAGCAACGCTAAACAAAACCTTTTATTTCAAAAGCTAATGGAGACTAAAGGTACTGTATTTTAGACAGTTGAAGCTGCGATATTGTGGAATATGAATTCTGAGAAGGGGTTAATGACCTTGCTCTTTTTTCATATTAAACCTTTTATTGGGGACACAGTGTTGCAAGTGGAGAATGCAGTATAATATTTGAGATATCCAGATACTGGCAGCAGAAAATGCTGCAATGTGTATTTTTTTTTTTTTTTTTAGAAAAGTAGGCAAATATACAGGGTGCTTCAACAAAGATGGACCTGATTTGAAATTGCTATATCTCTGCAACCACGAACTGCCCGTGAATGAAACTCTTACCGCCTGAAAGAGCGCACAAGCAAACCCTAGCCTCAGACATTCGTAAGATGGCGATCCCGCTACACAATGCCTTTAGCGTTCTGTAGTTCACAAGACGGAATCTGTAATTGTGGTGCAAAATTCGTATTAATGCCCTTTTGGCATTGATCAGCCAATGCCAAAAAGTGTTCGTCGTTGGTACTGACAATTTGAGGAAACAGGAGCATAGGGCGACCACGCACTCCAGAGGAATATGTGAGTAGAATTCAAGAGGGCTTTCAGCGTAGCCCACGCAAGCTCACTC